TGATTAGAGAGGTATGAGCGATGCATGCTAGAAGCAGTTTCACGAGTGCACGAGACCAAAGGCGCCCGCAAAGCGCAGAGCACGCTCGCGCAGCGTTCAATTGAAAAAAAATAGCCATAGTAGTAGTAGCCATAGTAGTAGTAGCCGTAGTAGTAGTAGTAGTAGTAGTAGTAGTAGTCGTAGTAGTCGTAGTAGTCGTCGTAGTGGCAGTGGTAGTGGTAGTGGTAGTGGAAGTTGTAGTGGTAGTGGTAGTGGCAGTGGTAGTAGTAACTAGCAGAAGTAGTGGTAGTAGTAGCAGTAGTAGGAGTGTTATTTGTCTGGTTTGTCTGGTCTTGCCTCTACTGTTGTATATTGTGCGGTGTGGAATGTTAATTTGTTGTATCGTGTTTCATTGCATGTGTTGTGAATGTTCCGATTTTTTTTGTATCACGCTTTATTGTATGTGTTGTAAATGTTGTAAGTATTGCTTGTATGCGTGCTTATATATTTGTATGTATATACATATGTACATGTATATCATATGTATATGTACGCGTGTGTGTGTGTGTGTGTGCTTATATGCATATACGTTTGTATGTAGTTATTCATGTGTTTTCTCATGTAATTCTGTATGTATATTTATCCGTGTATTTGCATGTGTGTATGTGTGTATGTACATGCATGTATTATCATTCGTCTTCTGTTCTCTAGTTTTCCACATATATTCCATTGTAACGCATGTTTATATGCGTGTGCCAATGTGTATATGTATATATTTATGTCTATCTTCATTTGCTTGTTTAGGTAATTACTGGTATCTATACACCTCCGTATTTACATAGTCATGTATATATACTGTGTATATGTATATATATATATACACACACACCTGTAGAAATACATACATGCAGAGATCGCATCAAGAGGCAGCTTCGTGTGTGAATCGAGTCCGAATCTATCGCTTAGGTTTCAATTTTTCTGTTGGCTCTAAGTGTGGAGTTTGTGAGTATTGACACCTGGCTGTAGAGCCAGTGTCAGGTGTCGGGCCTGGTTTGGATGCCATGGATACTGCAATTCTAGGATGCTCGTAAGGATTACGAAGCAGAGGGCAAACCGAGTAGAACGAGGTTGAACAGCTGCAATCTGGTTCCAATTAATAATTAGACTCCGAAAGTTATTGAAGCATACCTTTTGCCTCCAAAAGAATAAAACACAGCAAAGCGAAACGGAAAGCTCCTGCAAACTGCAAACCCTGGCCCTGTCCACCTCATGCACTCTCTCTCTTACTCGCGCAGGCTGCTCAGGCTGCTCTCAAAGAGGTCCACGACAAGATCCGCAAGCTGGAAACTGTAACTTGGACAAACAGTAGTAAGGGTGGAGTCGCCGAAGCGGCGCATGTCTTTTCAGAATTTGTTCTGTGAAATGTACATATTAATGACACACATGGGGCTGCGATGTGTGTTCCCGGGCAGATTTCCACTGATGATACTCAAGGCTCCAAAGACCACAAAACCGCACTCGTGCTGACGCCACCCACGATCTTCTGTTCGAGTTTAGGGTATGCGGTTTGTCCACCAATGTCTCCTTTAAGGGTTTCGGTTCAACCCATCTCTTCTTCTAAGCAGGTGTCTGCCACCCACGATCTTCTTTAAGGCTTTCGGGTTTGTCAGCCGCTATACTCTTGCATTTTTTTGTGGTTTGCCATGGTAAATTTCGCGGCCCAGGGTTCGGGCAGTTAAGCTCAACACCGATTGGCCTTAACTTTTGGAATAGGGGTTGAAACTGTAGTTTACGGCTGGATGTAGGGTTTGGGGGCCGATGAGCCTTAACTCTTGAAGTAGCGGTTTCGTGGCCGAAGGCCTACCGATCCTACTGCCCTGAGGTCCGAAAGCACATGGGGAAACACACACACCAAACCAAACCTAAACCAAACCTAAACCTACCAACAAGTACGATAGCTGTCGCCGCGACTTGCTCTTCTTCTTTTCGAAATTTGCGACAAAGCCAGAAACTGTGGTCCAAATGGGCCGTCGGCTCAACCCCCACCCCAAACTGCCCCAAACTCCCCAAACCCCCAGGCCCCAAAACCCAAGCCCCCAAACTCCAAACCCCAAACCCCCAAATCACCAAACCTCAAACCCCAAACCCCCCAAACCGCAAACCCCCAAACCCCAAACCCCCAGCCCCAAACCCCAAACTGGCTGCTGTGTTTACTGACAAGATGACAGAAATACTCGCTGAATACCCATTTGGACTGGCCACAAGTAGTCGGGATGTGTTTCGGAATCTTGTTGTTGTTGAAAACCATTGGGGGCAGCGAAAAAACAATTGACGGTAGTTCCAGGCCGAGAAAAAGTTAAGGTCAGCGCTTCCAGTGGTCGCGCACCCTGAAAAGGTAGCAAAGAAACGGCCCGAAAGTTAGCGACCGTTGAGTTCAACACCGGTGTTGAACTTAACTGGTTTCACTGACCTTAACTACTTGTGGCCAGTCCAAATGGGTATTCAGCGAGTATTTCTGTCATCTTGTCAGTAAACACAGCAGCCAGTTTGGGGTTTGGGGCTGGGGGTTTGGGGTTTGGGGGTTTGCGGTTTGGGGGGTTTGGGGTTTGAGGTTTGGTGATTTGGGGGTTTGGGGTTTGGAGTTTGGGGGCTTGGGTTTTGGGGCTTGGGGGTTTGGGGAGTTTGGGGCAGTTTGGGGTGGGAGTTGAGCCGACGGCCCATTTGGACCACAGTTTCTGGCTTTGTCGCAAATTTCGAAAAGAAGAAGAGGAAGTCGCGGCGACAGCTATCGTACTTGTTGGTAGGTTTAGGTTTGGTTTGGTGTGTGTGTTTCCCCATGTGCTTTCGGACCTCAGGGCAGTAGGATCGGTAGGCGTTCGGCCACGAAACCGCTACTTCAAGAGTTAAGGCTCATCGGCCCCCAAACCCTACATCCAGCCGTAAACTACAGTTTCAACCCCTATTCCAAAAGTTAAGGCCAATCGGTGTTGAGCTTAACTGCCCGAACCCTGGGCCGCGAAATTTACCAGTTTGCCACCCACGATCTTCCTGTTGGGATCGGGTATGCTGTCTTTAAGGGCTTTGGGTTTACCAGCCAAGATCTCCTTTCAGGGCTCGGGGATCGTATACTTCTGTGGTTTCTGGTTTGCCCACCATGATTTTCTGCTTTTCGGGTTTGGGCGGGGTTTTGCCACCCACTATGTTGTTTTTGGTTTTGTGATCTAACAACTGTTAGGGTTTGCGGTTGGCCACCCACTATCTTCGTTTAGGACCTGGGTTCGCCAACCAGTATCTTCTTCGTCGGGCTTGCCTCCCACTTTCTTCTTCTGGCGTTTGGGGCTTTAGGCTTGTATCTTATTCTTTCAGGGTTTGGGATTTTTATCCTGTTTATCGGAGTCACTCCCGATGTTCCGCAAATCTCTGCCCAAGTTTTCCAAACTGGTCTCCTTTGTTTTCCAAGATGTTCTTCGTGGGTTTCGGTTGTTCTCCGAATCGGTCCTCCTTGTTTTGGAATGTGTTTTCCGAATTCTCCCGCGCCGGTCAGCGTTGCAAGAGCAATTATGAACTTGAGGGGTTTCTTTGTCACTAGCACCACCGAGTTTGGGCAAGAATAGGGGCTTGATCGCAGCGGTAGTCGCCGCCTTGGCAAGTCGTGGGTCGCATCATAAGTAGTCGTCGCAGTCGAAGTCGCCGTAAAAGCGCAAAGAGTGGTGGTAGCAGCAATCGCAGCAAAAGTAGCAGCAGTGGCAGTCGTCGTCGTTGTCGTGTTGGTGGTGTTGCGAATGGAGCAGTTTGCAACGGTCGGCGAAATGGCCGTTAAGGCTTTGTTTCAGCATCCCCAGCGCAAGCATCCTTTCCCCGGAAGCGTTAGACTTTGTCCCCAGCCCTTAAGGTTTGTCCAGGTAGACCACCGGAATTCCAAGCCACTTACCTAGTAAACCCTGCCCCGCGCCACCTCAGCGAGAACGGTGAGCGGTTAAGCTGCAAGATCTGTAAATGGCACGATATTGAGCAGCTGAGGATTACAATGCAGGTGTGGCCAACTCCTCAGCTTCAAGTCCTTTCACGCTTGCGTTGTTTTGTGTCGGTTGTGAGGGTTGCTTGGGAGTGGTCGGGCAGGTTTAGCAGAGTGAGGAGCGTTGTGCACACTTGGGGGGTTTATGATGGCCATTAAAGAACGATCATGGCGGACGAACTAAGATGTTGGTGCCAAGGATAGGGAAGTAGCAGCAGTAGTAGTTCTCGTCGTCGTCGCAGTCGCAGTCGCAGTAGTAGTCGTCGTCGTCGTGGTAGTAGTAGAAGTAGTAGTAGCAGTAGTAGTAGTAGTAGTAGCAGCAGTAGTAGTGGTAGTAGCCATAGTCGCAGTCGCAGTCGCAGTCACAGTCGTAGTCGTAGTAGTAGTAGTAGTAGTAGTAGTAGTTGTTGTTGTCGTTGTTGTAGTAGAAGCCGGAGTAGTAGTAGTAGTAGTAGTAGTAGTAGTAGTAGTAGTAGTAGTAGTAGTAGTAGTAGTAGTAGTAGTGGTAGTAGTAGTGGTAGTAGTAGCAGTAGTAGTAGCAGTAGTAGTAGTAGTAGTAGTAGTAGTAGTAGCAGTAGCAGTAGCAGCAGCAGTGGTAGTGGTAGTTAGTAGCAGCAGCGGCAGCAGTCGCAATCGAATTCGTAGTCGTGGTAGTGTAGTCGTGGTTGTAGTCGTCGTCGCGGTCGTAGTCGTACATAGTCGTAGGTAGTGGCAGTTGTGGCAGTGGTAGTCGGAATGGCAGTACGAGCAGCAGCAGCAGCAGCAGTAGCTAGTAATTAGTCAACAACGATTTTTTGCCGGTGCTGGTCTCACTTCGTTCTTGGTGCTGTTCTTGGCCTTTGCCGAGGAATGGAACAGCGCACCGACCCAAAATCGTAAGACTACACTGTGACACGCAAACCGGCAGATCCTTCCCACTTGCCCCTCGGGTGGCCATGTTCGGCAGTGATCCAATGGTGGAGAAAGCTGCGCTCTGCAGGACCAGCAAGAAGGATTGCAGCAGGACATGGCTCTCTGCGAGATTAAGTTGGAGCGAGCGCCCGCGGCTCACTCTTCAAAGACTCTTCGATGCACGCCGCATCGCTCTCGCTCGGTACAAAGCATCTGAACTTAGGCACAAGCTGATCGGTGGACTGGGAGGCGAGAAGGTGCGCTGCCCATCCATTGCTCCACGCTCTGAGGTTACCCATGCCGTTGCTGTTGCAAGATCTGAGCAGCGCTCGTACTGACAAACTGACGTTAGGCTCGATGGGGCGACAATGTGGTGAAACTGACGGAGCAGATGGAGCTCCTGCAAAGCTGGCCTGTTTTACCTGCTCCACGCAAGCCCGTTTCCGTTTCGATCTCAAACGGTTCCAACATTCCCATGCTTGGATGGACACTCTTGGGGGGCAATGCCTTTGTATCTTGCCTGGTTAGAGCCCTTTTCTTAGATAACTTAAGCATTGAAGTGGAAACTTATTCTGAGAGTCTGGGCATCTATTCGGGGCGGCTGGGCCCTCGTCCGCCATGACATTAGTGGGGCTTCATGCTGCAGGCTTCTACTGGAGCAAGGCTTCCCTAAGCTCTTAAACCACATTTCTATTCTCCAGACGCTAGGCCGCACGGGTGGAGATCCCATGAGAAGCATCCAGACCCGTACACCTGACGGATTAAGTGAAGCCGCTCCTAGGCCTGGCGACTGCATTATTGCCGCCGGAATGGTCTCCTATGCCGGTCCGTTCACGTCCGGGCCTAGCACAGGCATTCCAGAGTTCCACATCATCAAATTCCACACATTTCATGACCTGTATCATCATCACCAACTTCACGTGGTCGTCGTAGTAGTCGGAGTACCAGTACTAGTCCTAGTACTAGTAGCAGTAATTAGTAGGAGAAGTAGCAGCTGTTGTAGTAGCGGTAGCTGTAGCAGTGGCAGTAAGTAGCAGGAGCAGGAGCAGGAGCAGACACAGGAGCAGGCGCAGTGGAAGTGGCAGTGGCAGTGGCAGTGGCAGTAGCAGGAGCAGGAGCAGGAGCAGCAGGAGCAGGAGGCGCAGGCGCAGTGGCAGCGGCAGCAGCAGTAGCAGTAGCAGTAGCAGTAGTCTAAGTATGTTGTTGTTATGGGGTCCCTCTCGTCTTTGCAAGCAGCAGAGTCAGCCACAAGCTGCAACAGGCTGGCGCAGGATGTGATTGCATGGTGACAGTACCCATAGTCAAGTATGTATTGCCAGACTTCCCATTTGGGACCTGCCTGCTACAGTGCCCTGGTTAGTGATCAGAGGTCAGATGCAAGCTTCTGCACGGCTCCTGAGCGATGCAGTCAAAAACCTCACATTCATATAACCAGAAGTCACGCTCTCCATGACGAAGTCTTCGTTGAACTTGAGAGGGCCCTCTGGCGCTCCTGCGCAAAGTTCGCTCTGGAGCGAACCCATGACCAAGCACTGTAGCACAAGGCACATAAGTCGAGGTCGAGGTGAATGTCTGATGTTTTCCCGGCTCAGGTCGGAATTCCGCACTTCTTTTGAGCAGCAGTGGCTCAAGGAGCTCGACATGGCTGGCATCACCCATAACGAGGACGGCCAAAGCTCAAGCTTCAGGAAAGGATTGTGCGTGTCCGTGCGCGTTTGGTTCTTGCCTCAAGCTTCATGAAGCTGAAGGCCGGCAGGCCTTGTTTGAGACCTCGGAGTTGAACACTGCACTTGGGGTTGAAACCTGGGCTCAGGCTTTGAGACTGCTGCCGCCCAGGAGTGCAACATGCGCAGCGTATTGGGGGAGCCTGTGAAGATCCAGCAGTTCAAAGCTGAGGGAATTGCCATGAACTTGTTGGTTTTGCACGGAAAGTATTGTGAGATCTTGGCAGTTTCTGGTAGTACTACTTCTTCACTTGCATCCTGCATGTGCCTCTTTTGGACAATGAGTATTTCAGTATTTCTCTTTACTACAATTCTACTGACACTACTAGTGCAACATGACATGACTATGCGAGTCATGGTACATACTTCCCAGAAGACTCATTCCGTCCTCAATGCCCTTAAATCATCTTCTAACCCTACGCACCCTCCACCCTGAACCTCACCGCCATCAGAGCATGGAAATCGAGGTGGGTGGTCTACTCGCTTCCTAACGACACGCTGTCCATTGAGCTCGTGACCCAGAGCAGCCGGAGCAAAAACTGTATGCCGAAGTGTCGAACTTGTCAGTGCGTGTGCGCATCTTCTGTATTGTGCTCAGGATTCTGTCGGAGTGTTTTTCAATTTTCATTTCTGCGACAACGTGGTCAAATTTAATGTAGTAAAGGGTGATGAGGTCTCAAAATGAAGGGGCTGCGTGAGAGCTTCGGGAAGCTCAATCGAGGGAGACTACTACTACTACTACTACTACTACTACTACTACTACTACTACTACTACTACTTCTACTACTATTTCAACAACTACCTCGACTACTACTACTACTACTACTACTACTACTACTACTACTACTACTACTACTACTACTACCTCTACTACTACTACTACTACTACTACTACTACTACTACTACTACTACTACTACTACTACTACTGTAGTTGTACTGCTCTAGTACCTGTACCACTGCTATCTAATCGTACTGTGTTACTACTGCACCACCACTACTACTACCACCATTACTACTACTACTCCTGCTACTACTACTACTACTACTACTACTACTACTACTACTACTACTACTACTACTACTACTCCCACAGCTACAACCACCACCACTGCTACTGCTACTGCGAATCTACTACTACAACTACTTCTATTGCTGCTGTACTACCTGTACCACAACTGTGCTGTACAACTACACTGTACTTGTGTTCTACGGCTACTTCTACTACTTACTTGTGCTCTTGCACTACAGCTGTGCGCGACGTACTATCTCCATCTACAGCCGAAGACACACTACCCCAAACCAGCCGCGGGAAGCACAACCCACCACACTCTGCAACCCCGTACTGTAACCCCCATACAGTCGGGGCGATTTCATTCAGGACCTTTTCTGAGCTTGGAGTGAGAGAGGAGGCATCCTCAACATGCAAGAGCTTCCTGTTGAGATTGTTGTGTTTTGTGTTACTTATGACAAGGCTTTGCCCACAGACCCTCAACACTGAAAACCCTGAAGCCGATGCTTTGGTGGGCGAGGCCACGTGAGATTCTGAGATGGAAGTGCCGAGAAGAAGTACTGAAAACTCGAGGGAGTCGGAGCGAGCAGGAGTCGGAAGGTTTTCCAGGCCAAGCGCTGCGTAATGTAGAAAGTAGAAGAGTTGCTGGCCTGATTGAGTTCACTAACGAAGAGATTGTTACATTATACTCATAACCTAAGCCGAAAAGTGTTTAGTTTCGAGCAATGGGTTGCTGCGTGAACAAGTACAACATCAGCAGTGATATTGCCGAGAGTCCCCCGTTTTGGGCAGCAGCTAGCCGTGACAGCAGCGCCTGCCTCAAGGAACGCAATCATCATCGACCGCTCCCGCCGGTGGCCCCTGATGATCGATCCACAGAGACAGGCCTGAACCCTACAGCCTCGCCTCAGCCCCATCCAAGCTTTGAACCGCAGCAGCCTTCATAACATGGTCGGGTAGGTGACTTGAGCTCAGGGCTCAGGTTGAGGCTCTACAGCTCCAGATTGCCAAGTTTAGAGCGAAGCGGTGTTGTGTCGGGCCTCATCTTTTCGCTCGGAGCAGGCCAACAAGTACATCAAGAATATGGGCAAGGACATCGACACAGGGTTCGATGTGAGGACCTTAGCAACCTGCGAAGACTCATTGGAGAGAGTTGAACACGTAGACAACAGCGGCAGAACGTAAGCAGAAGAGCAACCAGAGCTCATAATGGCAAGGCGGGATGATTATTAGTATGACGAACAAAGCTGGGATCAACGATGATCGTGACAACGATAGTCACTGACAACCGTCATCCTTATCGTCGTGATAGCAGCAGTCAACAACAGCAGACTACCAATTGCAAGAAAGCTTCTCGCAAGGCGATGCATTTTGGAATGAACTGAAGATCAGGTTTGCAAGATGTCGGAGTCCAACTTCCTTCGCACCCTTGAGTTGGGCATCCAGTTCGGAAAGTGGATTCTGCCCGGTGCCCAGAGCTTCAAGGTCTTACGGCATGGCGTGAACTGGCCGAAAGTTGTGGCAGAGGGGTGATCTGGATTTATTTGCGATTCTTTCGTTTGTCGGGCCGATCGTAGAGTTTTGTTCACGCCTCTTGGGTGCATGTTCCGGCTGCTGCGATCTGCAATTGCGCATCAAGTTTCAGAGACACAGCTCCCCGGCTGTCTCCTGCCCGGTTGACAAGCAAAGCTCCCAAATCTCTGAGGTTTCTCGTTTCGGCAACCAAGCCAGGAAAAGCTTCTAAGAACTTCGTGTCATCCTCGAAGGCAACCAGCAACCAGCGTACTGGCACGGTGCCCATGTGGCCCTTGAAACAAAGGCAAACCGAGATCCTGAAACACACGAGGACGTGACACCTGAGTCTTGACTCAAAAACCACCTCCCAGACTGGAGAATATCGGGCTTTCCCTGGACCCGGCGCTGGAGCCCATTTTGCAACAGCAGAAGGTGCGGTTTGAAGTAGGGTCTGGCTGGGAGAGAATGCTTCGCGCTTCTAGAAGTACAGCAGAGGAAGTTTGAGATTGTCGGGCCAGAGGTTTAACTCGGCGGTGTTCCGGCATATGTGAGTCATGCCTACACATGTCCGTTTGTACCTGGCTGCGCCACGAGCCGACAGGTGCGAGATGGGTCTGGCTTCACCATCAAGCTGGGCGATAAGTGTGCAGTCCCGGAACCTGTGAAGTTGAATCGCAGGGGATCCACATGTATTCCTGAACACATCATCACCGTCGAAGACGTGGCAGCTTTGGTTGTGCTGATGATCTGACAGTACTAATCCCTTCCCCCTATTATTAAACCCCCCTAGTATAAAAACTCCCGGCCCCCGGAATTTCGCGATTTCGGGCCCACAATTGAAAATCAATGAAAAACATTAGGGGTGGTGCTAGGATTGTATGAGTTTTAATAGAGCCAAAGAGTACAGCTGTACTAAAGACAGTAGAGCTTGAGTGTTTAAGGGTTTAGGGCTCAGGGCTAAAGCTTCAAGGCTTAAAGTTTAGGGCTCTGGGCTTTATAGAGCCAAAGTTTACAGCAGTACTAAAGACAGCAGAGCTTTAGGGTTTAAGGGTTTAGGGCTCAGGGCTAAAGCTTTAGGGCTTGGGGCTTTGGGGCTTAAAGTTTCGGGCTCAGGGCTTTAGGGTTTGGGGCTCGAGGTTTAAGGCTTAGGGTTTTAAGTCTTGTGCTCACGAATTAATTCCTGTCAACCCCACTCATACGTGGATGCACCGAACCGAACACCCCCCTAATATAAAAGCAAAACCTCCGAAATCCAGTTTTAATATTAGGGAGGCGGGGGGCCTTTAATATTAGGAAGAAGGGATTAGATTACTTGCACTGTCGTCTGCCGCGTCAGGCGCTTTAGGCCTGGAAGAGGCGATGGAATACCCTTGGGCTCAGACCATTTGTATAGCGATAGCACAAGCGCTAATAAGAATCGTAAACTTTCACGTCTGAGTCCGGAGCACTATATCCAAATCTGCATGAACCAGGTCCATCACCTATGCCGACACCTTCAAGTTTTTCATGACCACGACTCTGTGACTCGCCTCAAGCGAACTTCCGCGACAGCTCAACTGGATCCGGTTTGGGACAATGTTGCCTGCATGTGTGTATACATCTGGTCTAGGGTTTGGGGTTCAAGAATGTTTTCTCATGTGTGACTGCTCGGTGATTTGATTCAGCACCGTGCATCTCTTTGCCTTAGTTGTTGTCCGTTTGGCGATTTTTGGAGGTCGAACCCAGCTCGACAAAATGGGAAAAAGTCTGGTCGAATGCCACTATGTGAGAGGTTACAAGGCCGTGACTCCACCCATCTTAACATCCGCTGCTTAAGTCTAGGCCCTCTACCGGGTGATAATATTGTGCCGTACCTGTATGTCTTCGGCGTTTGTTACTCGGCTCGGGCATGGGACCCTCTGCAGCGCCAGCACAGAGCAATTCAGCGAAGCTTTCGAGCTCATCTGCTGCAGCTAATTCCTCAAAACCCTGACGTAGCAGCAAAGGTGGTCAGAAGAGCTATCTGAGCATTTGAGATGCTTCCGGTGCAACCCGAGGCCCAACCCACACTACTCGCCGGAGACTTCTGTCAAGGCTGGCGCAGGGGTCACATCCGGATTCGCCGAGGCAACAAAAAATCGTTCTGGGCTTCGGAACGTGGTCTTCAATTGCGTTTGTGCACTGCATGTGCACGAAACAGTGTTTGCGTCCGTTGACATATGGACAGGTGCCCACTCTAAGTGCAGAAAGTGCTGTGCCTCGCACAGAGCACATTTCTGGCAGAGGTGACGCTGCTCAACTTCGCCATCACGCCAACTGGCTTGGAGGTCTGCAGCTATTAGTCGATGCAGCGGACGCCAGCAGGCTACGTCTATATACTGCTGTCGCTGGGATCCTTGTCACTGTTGATTAGTGCCAATTAGATCCTCGCTGTTTTGGCAGCCTGGAAACAAAGCTTACCGGACCGCTTTGATGCAAAATGCTTAGCATTGCCAGCTGCTCTTCCAGGCGGCCTGAAGAAGAGTTCTTGCCAAGCCTTGCAGTTGCAACCCCCGGTGGCCTCGAAGACTTCGTCTGATATGCCGAAACGCCTTCTTCCCTGACTACGCCAGCTGCGACAGGACCAGATGTTGGGCATCGTGGTCGCGAAGGAGCGGCCTGATCTCGAGGAGCAGAAAAGCCAACTGGCAGATCCCTCAGCACCGGGGCCGGGCCGGGCCGGGAGCTGCGCGTGATTTCAGCACAACCCCAAATTCAAAACCACCCAACATGATCGAGGACGCAGGAAGTGGTACAACTCTGACCTAGCCGCCTTCCACAGAGTACAGCCGTCCCGGCCACCACTGACATGCAAAGCATCCCGCTTCAGCGGGAACATCCCATGTCTGAAGACCCTCAACGCAAACCCTGAGGCACAGGCACTTCTTAAGCAAGATCCTTGGCAATGGATCCAGCTTTGGAGGGTCATCGTATGTTCAATAGAAGTTTCACTGTCAGCGTCATGACAAGCACCCAGCACTTTCCGAAACTAAGTCGTGGTACAGGTTGTGTAGAAAACCTGAGAGCTGCCCCGAGGTCAAAGACAATGCGAAGATGAATAAGCAGCTGAAAGAGATTGAGGCAATCTCAGGGCGAGGATCAGTCGTGCGGGTCTTGACAAGCATTTCCGAAGCCCCAAAGCCCGAAGCCCTGAACCATCAAAGCCTTACTTTTGGAGTCCTTTCCCGCAGTGCTACAGAGGTCCGTAGACGGCTCTGTGCGATGAGAAACTTAGAAAGAATCTTTCGGGCGGCAGGGCTTTGAAAATAAGTTCAACCATTTGGAGGCGACAAGCGCTCTGGACTCTAGAGGACAAAACCAAGTTCCAGAAGGTTTACACTTTTACAACATCTTACAAACCCATGAAACAGTGCATCTCAGCAACCACCTTTTGGCTCGGGTGTTGAGTTTCGGATTAGTCGTCGTCGCGTCGTGTGGTGCTGTCAGCAGCACCAGTAGTCGGGAGAGCCGAGCCAAGGATTCAGGCATGACTAGAATTGAACGGTCATGCTGGTTAAAAACATACGGGAAGATATTCCAGTCAGGCAGTGACATGACATAACATGAGAAACCTGCTGTGTGATGCGACAATACGTGCGTACAGTCATAAACAAAGTGATACACCTCGACCGAATACACCCGCAGCACCGAAAGTATTGTGCATCGTCATCATCACAATAATCATCAGCTTACGATTATTGAATGGTGATCTGTACAACTACGATCCTTCATCTTGTTATTCTTCCTCATCTTCAGCATCTTCTTCGTCATCGTCGGCCTTATGGAAGCGCAGATTGCGGCTTGCTTCTCGTAAATATGGAAATCGAGAGCATGCCGTTTTTTGCAAACGGAAGCTGCTGGGCGGAACCCATGCAGAACCACAATATTCAAGCAAGAATCATAGTCAGAATTATGTAAGGTATGATGCGGGCACCTGCGTCCAGGATGAGATCCTTCATCTCCTTTCAGCCAGCGAGGGCGACGTGCTGGACGACGACACCTTGGCCCTCTCCCCAGCCTGGAACGCCAGGAGGAACGGGCAACGCGCTTCATTCTTACATGCGGCATTGACGTTGACATGAAGCATACGTTGTTCTGTTGCTGGTTTGGCCATACAAGATAATCTGTTTGCAAGCTCAGTGAGTCGCAGTTTTCTGCAAGGTTCGCAGGCCTTTCGAGGATAAGATCGCTCCTCTTACCATGCAGATCAACGCTCGTACCCACGAAGACCCCTGTTGTGACAGGAGCCTAGTCGGGCGTTCTTTTCAAGTCTTGGAGACTTCGACGCTGTGATTGGTAATTAGTAGCCAGCCTAGAAAGATGTCCATTTAGGCCTTAAGAGGGTAGGGCAAAGATTCACGGTTGCTGGTAGAAGAGGCGACAGTTGGAATGTAAATGTAGAGTCTGCTCGGGAGCGGCCTGCCAGGCACTTCTGCCGTACACCACATTGTGCTTTGAGTAAAGTCCTGTGTAGAGTACTCTTATGCCAACCTGCCCTGAAGCCCAAAGCCCTGCACCCCTTCAGCTCCAAGTACTTCCTATCTGAACACCCCCATTCTGCACTATACCCTATGAAAAACCCGTTTTAAGGTCGACAAAGTCACCGCCTCCAAGCAAGTTTCTCTCGAGATCGGCGAGAAGCAAGAGGCCGCTCCCCTCGTTTTAGCAAGGGTGCTCTACATTTGCCAGTTAGAAGTGGTGGGGGCTCAGAGTTCAACGCTGAAAATCTGGATTTTGTGCGTTGAGGTTGGCGGCTTGACTTGACGTTGAGGGCGAAGGCTTAAAAGGTTTGCATGCTTGTACATAGTGACTCAGAAAAAGGGATCCCAGTTCATGGGCCTCCGCTGTTCAGGGTCGATTTAAGGGCCATGTTTCAAACCAAGGCCAACAAGCTAGCTGCGAAGCCTTCAAGGCAATGCAGACACAGATCATCATGGTTGGTTGCACTCTCATTGACGGCTTGTCATAGCATCGCACCGAGCATTCGCAGCACCCTTGCGAATCGGAATTTAGGACAGAGCCTTACACTGTAAGAAGCCTTACACTCTGCAATGTGCCTTCAAGTTGGTTGGGGCCGCAACTCTGGGGCATGGTCTTTTCGGCGGACGGGCCCGTGGGCCCGTGAGCCCGTGGGCCCGTGGGCCCGTTGGTGGGCCCGTGGCGGGCCCGTGGGCCCGCGAGCCCGTGGGCCCGTTGAGCCCGTGGGCCCGCTGGTCATGGGCAGTGCTAGGGTCGGGGTGGTAAGAATGGTTGCAAGCCGGAGAGACATTGAATCCTTATTTACTGTCCTGCGTTCATGCTGAGGGTTGTTGGCCTTTGTTGTCCTATCTGTTATTTACAGGATCCTGCTGCCATACTTGGGATGCTGGCAGAGCTGCATTTCGTTGTTATCCTTGTGGCAGCAGCCTTACTAGGAAGCTTAGACAATGCGAAAGTCATTGCATGTGCGTGTTCGGTGCGAACAGGCTAAAGTTGGAACGAGTCCACAGGAGCCAATTGGCCCCAAGCCACAGGTTCCAACTTGGCTAAAGTTGGAATATGGTCAGACACCCCCTCCCAGTGAAAGTTGGAACAGGTACTGCACAGCGAGAGAGGAACTGCAAATACTACGACCGCTCCAGCATTGCAAACAGTAAGAAACTCATGTTACGTGGTGCCTTGTACTCCTTGTTCACAAAGGCATCAACCCAGTAAGACCCGAGTAATCATGTTAAGTATGGCCTAATGCTCCTGCTATACATGTACATAAACCCATGAAGCCCTGAATAATCATGCCAAGTATTGCCTAGTACTCCTTGTCTACAAGGGCATACACACATACACACAAGCATGTACACAAATGCACAT